TATATATATATATATAATATATATATATATATATATATATATATTATATATATATATATATATATATATATATATATATATATATATATATATATATATATTATACATACATATATATATATATATATATATATATATATATAAACACACACAATATATATAGATCTATCCATGCATACATAATTGCATATATACTTACATTCATACAAACACATACAATTGTGTGTGTGTGTGAACATACTATGCTCTTAATTGGGATGCAAAATGACTAATGCCTATATTTTCACCACTATGCACCCCTTTGGTTTAAATAAATATTCCTAGTTCCATCTGTTACTAAAAGAGTTGTGTTATTACATAAATGGCATTACTGAAAAAGAAAAAAAAAAGACACTGAAAGATCATTTCCTTCCTCCAGCAGTGACTACGATTATGATCGACCTTTTTGTTTGCACATGTAATAGTTACTGAGGATATAAAACATATCCTGTAACCTTATTACGTAATAATATTGATGACAACTGAAAATTACTGTAGAGATAAAAGAAAAGAAACTCAAATCACTGCACATTATAGATTTTTGTAAGCACCTGTTCATTAACTGTACCAGAACATTCTTGCATGATACCATCATAATTAATTTTAAATCTGTGATGTATACTTCATTCCCACACCTACCCTTCATATTTGACAAAGTTTCTCAAGGATAATGAATATTTGGAACATTGTGAGTGTGCATTAGAATATTATTCTGGATAATCAAGTACAATACCCTAAGAAGATTTCAGTATAAATCATAATGAATCATACTCATTACTTTTTGCCATATTCTTACAAACTGAATTGCTTATGTACATTTACATAATAATCTTTGCATATCTGTATAGATACACTTCTTATACTATCTTCATGCTCATTATTACCCAACCCTGCACACCTTTCTTCTTTTCCCTTTTTCTTCTTCTAATTTATGGTTGCGAATGAAGAGAAGGGACACAGCATTTATAATTCTCCCCACACAGGTCCTCATGTTCAGGAGTCCCGCAAACATTATCTTTCTCTGTGCATTTTCCACCAAGGTCTTCATTACAGACACTGTCAAAGATTTCTTGTCGTGCCACAACCTGTTGGTTAAGCTTTCTTTAATATTTATGTAAAGAATCATATGTGTGTTCTATTATCAATATATTTTAACTTAATTCACTATATGTAATGTGCTTCTCTCTTACAGTGACATTGTATACCCATTCCTCTAAATCAAACTACTGAGAAAGGTATTCGTAATCCATTTTTTTATGAATTAATACCAAACTCACCATACTCTCCATGATGAAAACTCCTAAGAAGAAAGAAATGATACCCAGTACTCTCACTGTCAAATAAAAAAAAATAAAAAAAATTACCTAAGCATATAAAAAAATATTTCCAAATGCTCTTTCTTCTTTCATTACCAATAACTGAATGAAAGGGAATATATTGAACTTTAAATTATGATACCTCTGTTCCACTCACTTGTTGTATTCTGATATTCTCGCCCAGGATGCTGGCTCAAAGTGCACAGGCTACAGACTGATACAAACAGGTTCGTTGACACTGTCTTCTGACATACTTGCCAGAGTGAACAGATATTTTCCTCAGCAAGGAAAATTCACCCTTCACCCATTTGAACACTTGTACCATAACTAATAAGCTCGTCACTTCTACTTTCTTCATTTCAGCTATTCATCTCTCGCTTTACGAGCTCATTAGCTTCTTTAATGATGACCACAAGATTTTTATGTTGAGAATATCTTCACTACCAAAACAAAAAATCTTTAAGTGTTACTTGTTAGTAATTTATGCTGGGTTCTATGTTGTTGATAATTTGAGGTGTGCATTTCAGCGAGATTAGCTAAATAAGCTACCTTGATACTCAATTCTTTATATCACGTACTGCCAAGTGTAAATAAGTGAACCTGCCTTACTAAATAACACTTTAATATAACATTATGTTGAGGACAAACGTTTCTCTTACATACTCCTCTACCAAACCTTCATTATGCACCCTCAGCGAAATGAGTTCATAAATATTTCAGAGTAGTTAATGACACGACAGCATGCTTTGGAACGAAGAATGAGGTGCTGGCTTTAAACTGTGATGCACATTGTATAATGTGTTTCTCTATACATCCATAGATATCTATTCATCTGTATGGTACCATTTACTATATATAAGCATTCATTTTTTATATCTTCCTCAATAAAGTAAGGTAATCTTTCACTAAGGTGGTTCCAGGATATCTTTAGCACAATATTTTGTGAATTATCTGTATTAATTATGATTATAGATGGACAGTACTAAAACATTAAGAATGAATACTGATACCTTCATGAGTGGCAGGCATGAATAATATTCTATAAACTTAAATGGAATAAAAATTTAAAAAGTGCACTTTCTCATTGCAATTGATTCACGATTCTCAGAAACTAATAAATTGGGGGAAAATCTTAAACCATCAAGACATATTGAACTCATTTTAATATTTACACTATTTATACAAGCAAAAGAAAAAAAGGATCCATGCAGTCATCAACTTGAAACTCTTTGTTATATATTTAACAGTTCATCAAGAGAGAAAGAATTATTCTTTTTTCTTTTTCCTCTCTTCTTCCTTGAGCACTTCCTCTTCCAGAACCGTCCAGGGTAGAGTTTCTCGTCTCTTTGCCAGTAATGGGTGCACCGAGTCCTCCTTTATCGTCGTAGGTTCACGGGTGGTTAGGCCTCCTTCTTCTAGAGCCTCCATGAAGGATTTTATCTAATGGGAAGAGGAAATTTTTTTTTTCTTGAGAAGAGATGAGGGAGAATTTTAGTGTTTGATATAGCCATCATGACAGGCATACGTGAACTCATCATGACTGGCTCTGTGAGCAGGAAGGACCAGCTGTACACAGCAAACACCCTGCCAGATAGGTTAGAACAGGGTTGTCAAACACAGCACATTTGCTCATTTCAGTCTTACAGTCAGTTAGTCCTTTGTCTTTTAACATTATTACTTATAATCTTCATTTTTTTTATTATCATTGTCTTTTTGTAATGAATGAAATTGCCCAGTGTTGTCACATTCATGGTTTGCAGGCTCATTGTGTTCCCTAAGATAATCATAAGTGGCACGTGGGATTACACGAAATTATGATCACCATGAAGAAAAATAATATCATATACAATTTAGCATTGTTATTACCATTCAAAATCTGATAAATTAAATAAACGAAACATAATCCTGGGAAGGCAGGTATGAACCTTTGTTGGCCCTCAAGATGGTAACTGAAGGGAAAATTGGCCCCTAAAGGGTTTTGAGTTTGTCAACCCAGGGCCAGACGGCTGCCAGTAGTCACTAGAATGAATGTTACGCAAAAAATTCTGGACACATCAGTGTAGAGTTAAGTGTGGGAAAGGTAATTACTACACAATGACTTTATCCACCATTCATGCAAAGAAATACATTTCACTGGCATCATTTACTTTTGGTTACATAAATATTAAAAGCACAAAAGCTGCTGGCCTTTTAAGATTCTGCATTTTAAAATAAATTTATAGAAATATTTGTCTGAATCATGAAATAACAAAAATAACTAGCAATATAACTTACACTCTACCTACTACAATATGAAAACTATATTACATTAAAAGATTAAATTAATGAAAGTATGAAAGCTAAAATATACAAATAAAACACCAAAATTGAAGAAATATGCAAGAAAACCATGAATGAATCACCTTTTCTGATGTATCTACATGTTCCTGGAGCTCTGTGTGAAGTTCTGAAATACCAGACTGCAAGCATCGCTGCGCAATGATGTGGCCAATGTTCCTGACAGCATTGATGTCTGTTGTGGAGAAGAGATGCTGTTTGATGGCCCACTCTTTAGTTGATGCCAACACCACCGTCTTACCAGTGAAATGCTCAACACGGGCAGTTACATGGCGTTGGGTACACTCTAGAAACAATCTGTTGAGGCGAGATGAAAAAGAAGGTTGGTAAATTTTCAAGAGTAAGTGAAAAACTTATGGGTTTACTTTTCACACTAAATGAATATAAGGTGTACAAAAAATCCATACAAGAATATAGGTGCACATGTGAGTGAGTAATATGATTTTAGTGTCAGAAGTTCTGTTATTAAAAATACTCAGTTACCATCTCTGTGTATGTCTTTAATGCAACTTGTTACTGCACTAGCACCTGGTACACGCAGCGTCTTTGTAAATTTTTTATACAAGAACTTAGTCAACAGAGTCAATTACTTAGCCAACCTAATATAACCATTTTATCTATTCCTTGAATTTTCATTAAAGAAAAATGTCTTCATTTCTAAAACTACTATCATCATCGTTCAGTAGCAGACTAGATCTTAAAACTATCAGTCTATTATTAATTAATATACACTGCTCAGTTAAAAAGAAGTACTTTAGGAAAAAGAAATCCAATGAAAGGGTGAGAGAGAGAGAGAGAGAAAAAAAAAAATGTTATTACACAAAGCCAGCCAATTTACACAAAGTAAATTTTAGCAGAAAAACAAAACAATACGGAAAAACTCACTTGTACCAATAATTACAACTTGGGCTGTCGAGGCCCCAGCCTTGAGGTTTCCGGGCCAACCTCAGCATCTCCATATTTCGGGGATTTCTGTTAACACATTGTGGGTTTACGAGGTCATTCTCGCTCAGTGCATCACTGTGTGTATATCTTGGCCTAAGGAATCCTGAAAACCAGAGAAATGCAATGAGACCTTCATATAATGCATGGTGTCAGTTTTTTTTCTTTTAGATTATATCTTAAAATAATACTAATGTTCACCTTGATATACAAAATAAAAAAGCTCTTAATTGTTGTCAGAATGTTCGTTTTTCATTTTTATACCAAAGTATCATAAATTGATTATTCAAAAAAGTCAGGGAAGAGATTTAAGTATTACAAACAAAATGCTGATTATTTCCATTAACTAAACATATTCTTAGTGACATGAAAACAAGGAACTGTTTAATAAAAAGATTAATGGTAATACAAACAAAGATTTAAAATGACAAAAACAGAATATACCTATGTGTGTGCATAATAATAATAATAATATTCATTGTTATGTATATAAAGTATGATATATGGGCTTTCATCCCCTGAAATGAAAAACAAATCATTTATAAAATAACAAATTAATTCAGCTTTCAAATGATCTAAACCCTATTAGAATTGCCCAAGTAGTTATGGAGAAACAACAATGTTGACAAAGGTGTAGTTTTGAGATATGGGGCTTTGAAGTTGCGGATACTTTTCCAAACATTTTTTTTCTTTTTAGAATTCTGATCTCTGCATCATTCTTGATGCTTTATCATAGCCAGAGGCAGGGGGGGTCAGAGATTTAGTCAACTCCTTTATTTTTACGTATTTAGCAGAAATATTAAGTCACGGGATTGCCAAAGCCTACTAGATTACAGGAGATTTTTTTTTAATTTTCAACTATTTAAAAAATAGTATATAGTACTGCAGTATTCCATTTGATGAAAAATCAGTAGAATATACATGGTAAAGGTTTCTTGACATTTGCCAAAGTACCAACAGATATGATGTAAGTTCCTAATATATAGGTATATCATCACCATGGCCCCCATACTCAAACAATAAAACCTCCACTACCTATTGGTAAGATAAATCTTAGGTTGGTTAACAATTAGAAAAAAATGCAATAATAGAGAAATGCTAAAACAATAACCATAAATAAAACCAAAATTTGTTTTAATTAGAAAAATATTCTACATACATTAAATTCATGCATATGGTTATATTTATATATCTATTATTTTAAAAAAACATTACTTTCTATGAGTTTAAAGCACCTGCATACACCAAACATAGAAGTAAGTGATTATACAATTATACCAGGAGTCCTCCTTGATTGTCACCATCATCAACTATGGAGATGAGTTGAGGGAAATTTAAAAACACAAATAGAGTATGCGATACCTCTGTACTTTTAAACATTCCTATTTAGTTTAGTACTTTTCAAGTTATCTGCGCTAGTCCATATCCATCATGGCTCTAGACAGTAATTTTCCCCATTTTCTTTTACAGACAATGTGCTTAGTTTTATGTAATTCACCTATCCCAATTGTACTGCATGGCATTATTGCTTCATCAACCTTGTCCTCTGTTTCATGGAAAATTGACATTTTAATTTGAACCACAAAATCCTGTTTTTCTACCTTACCTAAAAAACACTGAAAAAAACAACTTATTTCTCAAAATGATAGAAAAAAAATTCTTTTCCCATGGACTTTTTTTCTTCTTTTTTTTCAGATAGCTAGGCCTACACCAGCTCTGTGTTTTTCTGTTATTCAAAGTAGGTAATGTTTAAAACCATGCCCCACCCGCTTCCAAAAAAAGGAAACAAACATCTTTTAAAATGAGAGCTGTTCTGTCTCGAGGAATGTCCTATCTGTCACAGAAAATATTTCCGATACAATCTATTAAAATCATGGGGAAAAAATGTGCAACAGAAGTGCAAAAATTGCTAATGATTGAAATTCATACATTTTCATTAGTGATTTTGGCAACAATTATTCAAATGTAAAAAACAAAAGAGAGAGATTGTAAGTTTCTCTATGTAAGAATAAAAGGATGTATGTGTTATTTGCCTATCTATATATATAAAAAAAAAAAATCATCCCCAAAACCCCAACTCCCCATAAAATGTCCACAGATCTATGCCAATCAACCTTTGCAGACCTAAAAGATTTATCAATGAAACTGAATCATACTAAGTTGTGCTACTGATGACAACCTATTATAATAGTGTATAAACGATGTATAAATAATGTATCATCATTTACAAACATAACATGATGCAAAACAATAGTCGAGCAACAATGAACCACACATTTTTGGACAAACTGAAAATTTAACTGCAGTTACGACTTTTGAAAATAACTTACATCATTTGTCTCACCATATTTTCTTTATTTCTGATGTTATTTTTTGTCTCCAGAGACTGGTAATTTTACACAATACTTCCGCATATTGGTAATAACTAATGTGTAAATATAAAAGAACATAGTTTTTCCCCTATCTTAGTACATTCCTTTTGTAGATGCATACCAAAGTATTACTTACTTGCAGAAGAAATGCCCCTGATGAATACTGGGTAAGGTTTACAACAAGATCACACCTGTCAGACATTAACTGCCAGTTTATCAAAATTGTGGGAAGCATGACCCAATGAACATTCATTACACGGACTTGCATATACACAGAAAAAAAAAGCATATCTATCAGTCTAGACATGCATATCTACCGGGTTGATGGATAGATAAATGTGTATGTGTATATATATAAATATATATATATATATATATATATATATATAATATATATATATATATATATATATATATATATATATATATATATATATATATATATCTGGTAAATAAAAATATGCATTTATCTTTGAGTATATGGATGTCTGGATGTACAAATTTTCATCGGGTCAGGCATCGCACTATTTTAACAAACTGGCTGAAAGTCTCCAACTTTAGCCAACAATGTTGGGGGATCCTGAGGGGAATCCGGGGTTTTGGGGAGGGGGGGCTGACTTTGTTCATAGCAGGCCTTTTAAAAAGCAAAAGAAATTGGGAAATTGAAAACCTAAGCCAAGATTACTATTTCACATGATAAAGAATGTGGAAAATTGAAACAAGATGCAGCCATAGATGATAAGAAAACGGTGAATGGGAGGGGGTCCAGGGACAAAGCCACCAAAAGGGATATACAGTAGTCTGGAGGTAGCCCAGGGGTGAAGCCCCCAATTGGGAAACATGGTAATTGGGAGGGGGTCCAGGGGGCGAAGCCACAGGTAAAAAACACAGCAATCAGGTCTATAGGCTAAGTGACCAGTAAGGAAACATAGCAATTGGGAGGGGGTTAAGAAGGTTTTTGGTTCCTACAGTAAACTTAGGTTGGGGGTCATTCACTCGTTCACCACCACAGTGCCATGTAGAATATTCTGTAGACGAATCTTAGCTCAGGTTTTTCTAATTTCCATTGTTCCACTTATATGAAATGCAGCTCTTGACTCAGGTTTTTCTTTACACTTTCTTTTACTTCTTATATTACCAACTATGAACAAAATTATCTGGGTTAATCTTTATGGTTTGGACACACTAAGTTTGGACAAATTGAATATGATATTCTTGTAGAGGGCAAAATATTGCAATTGCCTGTACAAGAAACAATCTGCAGACACAAATAGCAATGCCACAAATGAAGGAAAAAGATCGCTGAAAGCACCACTTGTAGCCGAAGTATACTCAGTGTTCCCGAGTTTCAGCTCAATCTTGTCATACATACCGAGGTGAAGACAATGTTTCCTGGGGGTGTTTCCTGGGCAGAGCCCTGCCGGGCTGTGTGCATGCCCAGTACTGCAACTTACACTGATGAATATATTTTTTGACATGGAGTTGGGGACTTGGGCTGGTTTGTTAAAATTGTGCAAGGCCCGACCCAATGAATATTTGTATACTTGACACGCAAAATAAAGAAATAAATGCATATTTATCAGTCTAGACATGCATATCAACCAGGAAAATAGATAGATAAAGGTATATCTATCAGACAGAGACAGATATGCATTAATTTCTGTGTATATGCATGTCTGTATTTACGAATATTCATTGGGTCGGGCCTCGCACAATTCTAACAAACCAGCAGTTAGTCTCTGGCGAGTGCATCTATAATATAAAGAATTACCAATGTCTATAAAAACCTCCACCCAAATCCCGATTCCCCATGGGATCCCCAAGATTGTTGACTTGTTTTGGGGACAAAGTAGTATCAATTACCACTGGACTAAGTCTCCATGCGGCATTCAACGGGCCACATTATCATTGTTTAACTCGTATAGAGTGGCTTCTTCTCCTAACAAGTGCATTCCTTCTGTATACATTAACTGAAAATTGTCATACTTTTTGTAGTTCTATCCAGAACAAGCAAAGTTTTTCTTATGGCTGTGGGATACTGAAAGTACACCAAGAAAGCTCTCTAGCTAGACTGTAGAGTATTTTTGGTAATTTTCTATATTACGTCCGTATAACTGATATCGACGATTTTGGTATCGTTGGATTCCTCTCACTCTCCACATTGCAAATAAATAGTTTTTATTGCGCGGAATCCCCCCGTTAGCGACAAACTTCATTAGCAGGGGGGGGAAGGTTCCAGGGAAAATTAAATATTATAATATAACCCCCAGTGAAAATAACCATGGTTATTCACATAACTTTCCCCCTGCGGCCCCCCTGGGGGGGGTTGCCGCCCCCCAACCCCCGCCGAGCAAAACAAAACCTCCACCACGTATTCCCGGCAAGCTAGAGCGTTACACAGTCATCGTCAATGTCGGAGCGGCGGGCGTAATATTACAACTACCTCGTAAAATTCCCGCTGAATCAGCATATTAACCTTGCCATAGTCAGCATTGTATATAGAGACGATTGTAGTAAAATCAGGATGAACAGGGTGGCCCGCCCTCGTAGGCGGGTGTTGCGCCTTTTTCGATGTTACACCAATGGCCTCAAGGTCGAGTTTCCCGTCCACTAGAATAACGACATCCGTATTCCTAACTGAAATGACCGTTGCGTTCAGAAGGCAGTCATAGCCGCCGCGATGTGTGGAGGGTTCTCGTATTCGGAGACGGATTTTCTGCTTGAAATTGCAACTAGCCAGGAAAAATGCTAGAGATGTGCTTCCGCCACGGCCTCCTCCGTCGGGAGAAAGCTATATCCTCCGGCCTAGGACCTCCTGCCGGACGCACCCTGCCTCCTTAACATTCTGCGGCAAAGGAGCACCCTCCCTACTAATTAGCAGCATTAATCAATCAGGTTAGTACCTTAAAAATCCTAGGTTATTGTAGGTTATCGGCTCCGCATCTAGTTCGTATGCACTCTATCCTGCCGTGAATACGTGGTGGAGGTTTTGTT